AGAATTAGAGTTATCTGGTATGTCATTTTGCTGTCTACCATGCAGTTTAAGGTAAAATCCAAGCCTCTACCTAAGGAAATGCTTCTTTAATCAAGAGTTTAACCAATATTTTATATTTCATAAAATCAGGATGGTATATTCAATTCTTCTAACCTCTAGAACAACTTGTTTACTGAATTAGTGTGGTATATTCCATATGAAGAGCTATGAATGTACTAGATTTTAGATTTGAATTTATGATCTGAATATATGAATTTCTTGTAAAATTTGAGGTAGTCTTTCCTAACAAGATATAAATATACATGCTATGTATATTAATACAACTTGAACTTCTTAAGTGTTGCAGAACATTTTCATATACATTCAGCCTGGATTCGAAAGGAAATCAGGTTTATGTGTTTTCATTGTCCATATATTCCTTTACACACGTGTCTTTTGAGCAGTTCGCTAAACTGAGCTAAATTTAAAAAGAGAAGTAGAAGAATTAAGAACAAGCTTCCACAGATTACATGAAGACTACTGGAGGAGAAACTTGAACAAGTGCTGCCCGTGGGAGAGGGGATAGTTCGGTGGAGCTCAGCTGTTGCACATTCTGTGAGGCAGCAACAAGACAAGCCGTGTGCTCACACTGCAGCAGATTAGCCACGGCATGTGCTGCTTTTTGCAGGATGGGGATGTTGAAGGAATGTGAAAAGAAAGGAGAGGGCTGAAATGAATAAACTCCATTTGGGTACCTTTTCTCAATGTACTGGGGCAGCTAAAGGTGCAACACTGAACACATGGGCTTTTCAGGCCTGAAACGGCAGGAAGAGCAGTCAAAGGAGTTTGAGATGCAGTGGCTGGAAGCTAATGCTTAATAAACTGAAGCAGAAAATAATGTTCATTTTAAATGTGGCAAGTGATCCCTACTGCAGTTTACCTAGCAAGTATGATGAATTATTTATCCCTTAAAGTATTAATAATAACAAAAAACTATATTTTCATCTATTTCAGCTCAAGCCATGAGATTTAGATTTAAGGATTTTTTTTTTTTAATTGAACTGTATGCATCTCTATTACAAGAAACTCCATGTGAGGAGGAACTTCTTTACAGTGAGGGTGACAGAGCACTGGAACAGGCTGCCCAGGGAGGTTGTGGAATCTCCTTCTCTGGAGGTCTTCAAAACCTGCCTGGATGCCACCCTGTGCCATGTGCTCTGGGTGTCCCTGCTTGAGCAGGAAGGTTGGACTAGATGATCTCTAGAGGTGCCTTCCAACCTTAACCATTCTGTGATTCTGTGAAACTCGGATTAGATGGCCAGAGAAAATTCCTTCCAGCCTTATTTTGCGAGCAAAAGCATTGCCCCACTAACTTTTAATTACCTCATCATTTCTATTAACCTTTTATTCTKATATTTGATGCATCTCTCTGCTAAATAAACACAAGCCACCATCTGTTGATACAGCTACTTTCAGCTACTTTTAATCAACCCAACTAAAGGCGCATTAAAAGAAGTGATGTGCCTCAGCTCTATTTTCCATAAATGTGATTGCCATATTACTGTGAAAAAAGAAGAATGTAAGCACTGAAAAAAAGGTCTGCAATCTCATACAGAACAGCACAGGAAAATAAAACTTTTAACTTACATTCTCACACATTATGATCACAGTGGCCAGAAAATGGCCAGAAAGTCTAAAATATTAAATATTTTATGCAGCATTTATTAATGCTTTGCAGCCTATTAAAATAGTTCTAAATCACATAATTGTGAGCTGCTCTGAGGTTYAGAGTCCAAGCACTAGCAATCCCACGTCCCTGTAGATGGGCAGGAATACTGTCCAGGGGATCCAGGCTGCATACCTTAGCACTCCTGAAATGGGGCTGGATCTTGCTCATTGCTCTTTTCACTTACCACAGTATACAGGGGCTTCCATTAACTGGGGCATATCGCTCTGCGTCCAGATGACCCGAACGTTACAGTGCAGTGTTTGACAAAGTCAAAGAAGGAGACTCAGGCCTGGAAAGAACTTGGGTCAATAATTCCCAACTTGTCTAATTACAGATGCTGTATTCAATCCTGTTCCTAAACTGATCAAAGTCTCCCTTAAAATGGGCAGTCTCCACTACTGTGGAGAAAGTAGTTAGAAACTTGTAAGTGCCACGTTACACCTATCAGTAATCCATTTAATGCATTTGATTTAGACTAACAGAGTTCTTTAAGATAAAGAATGGTCTTCTTCCCCAGTAAGGAACAAAATCTTGCCCTTCTGGGTCTTCTTCCCCAGTAAAGAACAGTATCTTGCCTGGTGCTGCGTTTGCAGGAAGCGAGAAGCCGTGTGCGCGGCACCGCAGCAGCCAGCAGGGGACCTCGCAGTCTCGGGAAGGCAGAGGAGCTCCTCAGCCCGGTGGCAAAACATGTCACAGTAAAACACATCTCCAGAAAGTGTAGTTCGAATAAAATTTACCTTTCRTTTTCATGCACTCAAATTTTACTATTGCAATTATGAACAGAATGACAACTCACAATGTTTATATATATACATATATATGAAAAACTTGCTTTCATTGCTATCATCAATTATTCTAGATTAAAAACTAAAGTAACAAACTGCTCTAGTAAGCTCACTGAAATGCCCCTCAAAATAAAAATAAATACCGAAGTCACAAAACCAGTGGAGATTTGTATTATGAAACAGTATCATCCAACTGTGTGTTTGTACTTTGCTATTTAAAGTTAAAAACTGTAAACACAATTTACTCAAATGATTTTGAACCAGCTGAAACTAACCTAACCAACAGACTAACCATGACAACTTCATATATAAAAATATTTTTTAAACAAATGTTCTGTTAATGTTTTAAAAGTCAAGGTTTCCAGTGTCTGGAACAATGTGCAGTCATTTAAATGTGTGTGAAGGGATAACATTCTAATGTGGGAGCTCTTTGATATCTCTGTACTGTYTACAGAAGGGAAAATACAGAATCAGGCCTGCAAAACTAGCGTGTGATAAACTATCCTAAAAATAACCTCACGTAAACTGGATCCTTTTCTTCTGGCAACCTATCAACCAATATAATGTGGAAGTTTACATGACAGTTGCAACACAGTACAGGTGAGCATGGTGCCTCCACCAAGCATAAGGATACAGCAGATCATGTTGCCAAAAAAAAGAATATTAAGGAATAAGCTTAAGAAATTGTTGCTACCTTATCTGTCATCTAAAATCTCCGCAAGGACAGACAGGAACAAACAGTATGAGGAATTGGAGTCAAATTTTCTAAAATTGTTTTTGGAAACAACATCCATTCATTCTGCAATTAGTACCCTTCGATAGATCGATATAAATACCTTTCACTGGGCTTGTACTCACCTGAGAAGGCTTTTCATTGTCACTACTCACTTCTAGCTACAATAAAATTAAATCCTCAAATTAATTGTATCAGTGTTCACTATGCCATGCTATCAGTTTGTTCTCTCATAATACTGAAGCATCTAAAATAAATAATACCTTGCATATTTCTGGAAATTACATTCAAATACAACCTTGATGTCGACTGATGAGCACTAGGGTATCAGGAACAGTTTTGCTAAATTTTCTATGCTTTAAGGAAAAAAAAGCAAACAAGGACAGTCTATTTGCATTTGGGTCAATGTTCTGTAAGTTCTCATTCTATTAGACTCTATAGATTTCCAAAGATTTAATTTCATTCTAGTCATTTCACCATTTCTGACTACCAAAAAAAAAAAAAAAAAAAAAAAAAAAAAAAAAAAAAAAAAAAAGGCAACTAAAATGAAAGAATTACTACATCAAAAGCTGATTAATTCACAAAAAGTACAAAAAGTGAGTTAAGCAACTATTTCTTCTATTTCATCTTATCTATTATGATAAAGACTTATCTGAGTTATGAGCTCTGACAGGGACTTCAATTAATGATCTTAAAGCAGCCCACTTTCAACACAGAAGGAATGGCATATAATTTATTTAATTAGTACACAAAGGGCTTAAGTCCCCTAATATGTTAATATCATAATAAATAAATACAATTAAGATCAAGTGCAGCTAAGGGAAAATAAAAAACCTTTCAGATTTGTTCCTCTGTGAACATAGACTATTATCCTATTATCTTGAATCCACAGATTGTTCAGCAAAGCAAAAATGAGTAAGGAAAGAGACAGATGATTCTGGCAATAGCCTTCACATATTGGGTCAATCTGAAATTGGTTGAGATAGAACATTGCCATTTCCTAGTAACTTTCTCCAAGCTGGCTGCAGGAATCTGTGGGAAAATATATATAAATAAAAAGGAACTGTTTTAAAATTACATAATAAGAAAGATGCCAATACTTTCAGAGCCTCTGAACCTGTAAGAGAATTCCAAAGCCTATGGGGAGCTGCTAAAAAGTATGAGTTAGTTATTTTAAAAAGCTGGCACTATTCCAAAGAAGAGCTGGCTTTTGCCAGTAGGAAGTAGTCATCAAGCTTTCCTAAGCACAGTTGTTTACCTCCCACAGTATTTTGCAAGAAGAGTTTCCAACTCTGGAACAGGATGTGCAAACAGGAAAACTTACTGGAACATGAGCTTTTAGGCATGTGAGATTTCAACAATTGATTATTTTCCTTACAGAGGTGGCTCAACATATTAAATATTTGCAGAAAATCAGAACAGGCTGACAGTGCGCTGCAATCACTCAACAGCAAGTTCAGTTTCTCCAGTATTACCCAAGTGCATTCTGTAACATCATCCCAAAGCAGGTGAAATTTCCCTGCCCAAAGATGTACTCAGAGCATGATTTTAACCAAGTGCAGATGACTGCTCGTAGGTAGCCCCATCACCTTTTTCTTGTGACTATCAGCAACAAGGTATCTCTAGGCATCATTATGCAGAGGTAGACAGAATACCTCTCCTGGAACACCGCACCTAAAAGCAGAACTCATGACACACAACTCCATCCTCTAGGGTTGCCAACTTTAATCACATTTGAAAGCGATAAAACATGGATTTTTCAGAACATCTCTCAGATGCACATTTTCCCTTCACTTCTATCAGGAGAACTTTGCACTAGGCCTGTGGACCAAGCTAGATATAAAGCAGCCAAAGAGCTAACGTAGGACTAGAGCACGAAAAGAAATTCTTCAGTCACTCAGGTCACACTCAGATACCAGAAACACCATCAGACAGACCTTTTAAACGGAAAGGGAATCCATTCAATGAAGTAAAATCAAGGACAGAGGAGCAGTGGAGGAACAGGATGGGTTCAGCACTACGCAAGCTAGTTGGAGACAGAAGACAGAACAACAAAGAAGGGCTACAGAGCAAGTGAAACTCTTAACAACCACAATTTCTCCCACATTGGTGGAATTTCTTCATATATCAGATGCCTGGGGAACCTATCAGTCAGTTTCCCTAACCTGAGCCTAGACTCCCGGACAGCTGGTCCACTGCTGTTTGATTCCCAGGTGCAGCAGACATAACACAAATCCCGCCAAAGGAATCCAGTCACTATGTACACAGATCTGTTTAAATGTCAAATATTTGCAGAATTTTCCAGTAAYGTTTCGGATCACAAAGTAGCACAGACATCTTGTTTGAGTTATATTTTGTCATGCATTTTTACAGAAGTAGCAGCACACAGTTGCAGGGAAGCATGCCTTTTCATTTGCTGGGCTGTGAATAGTTTACCTTCTTTTTAGTTCCTGTGAGTAGTGTACTCCACTCCTTGAATCTGCAAAAGAAATTCAGTTATAAGTCTGCCAGCACAAACCCCATCAAGAAATCTTTATCTCAAAATACTGTAATTTCCTTGTCTTTGGCTTTGTCTTCACAAACAGCATTGTGTCTAGGGTAGGCGGAGGCATCCTTGAGCAGAACAGGGGTTAGCAAGGATTAACAGTTCTATAAAGAAACCTCTGCTAGTTAATAAACATACCAATTTTATGTGGAAAAAAAATACTGATTTGACAAAAATTGCAATTGTCACAAAATTACACACATGACAAGAATATCCCATATAAGTTGTAATGACGCTTCTGAACTACTTATATAGGTTCTAAAATTTGTTCTAAAAATTACTCTAACTACTCCAAAAAGAGACTATGTATAATTAGGTTACCATAAATCTGCTGCCTTGTATGCCCTAACAAAAAAATCTCTTACAAAATTTTAGAAAGCATAAGGCAGATGATTTTGCTGCCAAAGTATCTGTGACGCAACAAGGTTAGTTCGAATATCTTACTGCAAGGTCCTGGTTAGTTTCCACCTGAAGACTGAGAGAACCAGAATATTCAGAGACAACATTTTAAAATGAGTAAAATAAATACAAGATTATTGAAAATATTACAGATTTGGTATAATCTCATTTTAGGCTACAACACAACCCCCTTTCTCATTTCATGAGTTACTGAGACAAACCTGGGAATACTCCAGCTGTTGTTACCTGAAGCCCTAAGTCATTTTACAAGTTCTAGGTTTCAGATGCACATGGGACAAACAATCTGTTTCTCAAGCTATGCCCTTGATTCTCCTCTCGTTATTTTTTTTTTCTTTATACCTTCTTATTCCACCTTTTCTCCTTTGTCTATTCCCCTCTTTTTCATGTTGTTAATATTCAAGTATTTCTCCTTATCTGACATTACACAATGACAAAGTCTCTCCACCTTCGCTAAATAAAGCTATTTCCTTTTGTGGGTTGGCCATCTAGAACATACCGGGGGTGGGAGGGGAGGAAAAAAATGTATTTCAGCAGGATCAAAAATGTTCTGTTGGGCACATCGTCTCTGTTTAGACCACCAAYAATATCCTTGTCAGCATATCTGCAAGGCTGAAGTTTTGCAAGGCTGAAGTTCTTTAAGCTCTTTTGAATAATTTGAGCATATTGCTCACAGGCTTGAATCCAAATGAGTGGGGAAAAATAAGGAATAAATAAATATGTAAAGGAAGGAATGCACGAACTGCACGTTTTTCCAAAAGTGATACAATTGAACTCAAAACCCTGCAAAGCTTTGTGAAAGGATGTTTTAGCCCAAGAGCAACCTTATCATGCTTTAGTTTTCTGCAAATTTCATCCAGTGACTTAAAGGCATATTTAATCAAAGACTATGCAGTCTAGTGATAGTAACATATTTTTAAGTCTGAATACATTCTCACTCTCTGTAATTGCATCACAGCTAGCCTTAGTAATATTGCTACAAATATTCAGTAAGACTAGAGCACAGGGTCTCATATCTTTTTTTGCCAGCTATCAGCAACTAACACTAAGCTGTGCTTATGCTTACCATTATTATATTCACTAAGAATGAACATAATTTGTGCTTATGTCTACCATTATTATATTCACTAAGAATGAACATAATTAGTGTCAATAGCACATCTGTGCCTGGTACTGATATGCTGAAGTGTTGTGCATACCATTACTATTGTATATGTCTCTGCAAGAGCTGGGGCAGCCTGATGGCTGTAATAGCTCAAAACGCTTGTTTTAAAAAAAGAGCTACCTCAATATTTGATATGTTTAAAATCAGAAAAAAAAAAGGGGGATATTAATACTGATCTGCATTTTGTTAAAAAAAAAACATTACATTTGGTAATTGAATTATAATTATAGAAATATGAAGAAATAGCAATAATAATCAGACAGGGACATACAAAGGAGAAGCATATAGCTTTTCATGACTGGTACCCGAGAGGGCTTGCAGGACCAGAACAAGCAACTTCTTTGCATTCAGGGAAAAAAAAAGCCCTATCAAAAGTTGTCATATTTTTTTCACAAAAGTATCAAATTAGAAAGGGGAACTTTCAACCCTTAGTGAAATGTCATGCTGCAGTGACTAAGAAGTAAAAAAAAACCTTACAAGTGCTGCATTTGTTCTCCATATCATGAAAATCTGGTAGTAACACCAAACAAGCACACCAATGCATTTGAACTCGTAAAGTTCAAAGCTAATATCTTTCCTTTCCTGATTAACATTTTAACTATTTTTAATTCACTGTGCAAATGGACTTCCAAGATAAAGTTGACATTTAAAAATGAACTCAGTGGCCAGGTGGTTCTATATTACTGCTTGCATCTTGCTCAACAGCTACATTTCAATGGGCTAGGTATTGCATGGGCTTTTATCTGAGTCTTTCCTTGCCGGGGCTCAAGATATCTCAGACTTGACATGAGTCATTTAGCCTCTGATATGTCAATGTCCTTCATTAGACATTCTTGAAGGTGTATTTTCCACTTACCAGACAGTAAAGACCTGCATGGCTACTGCTGAGAAACATGTTGAAGCCAAATACATTRCCTGAAAATTTTTCTGTGGTCTGCAGCAGTCATGCTTGCCCATCACCAACCTCTTTTCAGCTCCCAGCTTTGCCCCTGACTGCCACAACAGTCATGGCAAGACCTTGCCCCATGCCATCCTGTGCTCTATTCCTGGTGTCATTCACCTTCTGGGAGCGCTGTTTTGGAGACTCCACACTACAGAGATACCAACACACAGCTTGACTAGCATCCAGCTTTCATCGTGCCTGCTCTCTACTCCCCAACAATACTGCACTGTGGTGAGCCCCATGCAGGCCTGGGCTGCAGCTGGGGGCCCACGAGCTGTATGCTACGAGGTCACACCTCCACTCAGGCCAGGCCAGGCCACCAAAACCCTGTGCCCTCTCTCGGGCTGGGCCAGGCCGAGCTGTGAAAACTCCACGCTCCCACTCCAGCTAAGTCGGAACGGGCCAGAAAGGCCGCGTATTCCCCTCGACTAGGGCCAGGTCGAGCCGTACCAGGCTAAGCAAGGCCATGAGAGCTCCACGCTGCCCCCTCGGGCCGGGCCGGGCCCACCGGCCGCGCCACGTAGTCACACACCGCCACAACAGCAACAGCCCCAGCCCYCTCCAGCTGATGCAATTTCCTCCCGCTCCACCCGCCCACTTTCAGCCCTGGCCAATCAGAGACCAGATTGGCCTTACCGTCATGCCGCGACGCCCAATGGGGAAGAGCCACGATGGTAGAAAGCGGGAGGGACGGGAGGTGCCTAGAGCCTGTGGGCCGCTTCGCTGGGTGGTCGCGTCGCCCTGTCTCGTCCGCGCTGCCTCGCCATGGTCGCGCTGCCCGGCGCCGCGGCCCCGCGGCTACTGCTCCTGCCTGGCCAGGCGCCCGAGCCTGCGGGTCCCGCGCCCGGCCATTCGCTCTCTGTTGYGCTCCCGGCAGGGGCGGCCTCGGGCGCGGAGGCGACGCAGCCGGCGCGCAAGCGGCAGCGCCTCACCCATCTGAGTCCGGAGGAGAAGGCGCTGCGAAGGTGAACGCGGGGTACTGGTGGTGCGGGCGGGACGGGGCCGGTGGGAGCCGCGGACGGGAGGGGGTAGGTGGGACGGGGCCTGATGACAGCGGCGGCGTCCGCAGGAAGCTGAAGAACCGCGTGGCGGCCCAGAGCGCGCGCGACAGGAAGAAGGCGCGGATGTCGGAGCTGGAGCAGCAGGTGCTGGAGCTTGAGGAGGAGGTGAGTATGGCCCGGCGGGGAGAGGCAGCGGGTGCCTTGGCCCCCCGTGATACCACTATGCTTGGATCTCTGCAGAATCAGAAGCTGCTGCTGGAAAATCAGCTCCTGCGGGAGAAGATGTGCGGTCTTTCCCTGGAGAACCAGGAGCTTCGCTGCCGCCTGGGCTTGGATGCGCTGAAGGCAGAGAGCCAGAGCAAGCCCCAGGTGAGCTCCAGTGTCCTAGCAGGCCTTGGCAAGGCTTTGGCGCTCTGCAAGGAGTGCAGTATGGGCTGAGGCAGCACAAAATCCCCTGGGGCCACAGGTGCCCATGAGGGCATGTCCTGAGTGAGGTTTCTCTATTCAGAAAGGTGCTTGCTCCCCTTCAGGTAAAGGCTTTTTTGCTGGCTACATGGGAGCACGCAYGTCAAAGGCAGCTCCTGACAGCATGGCAGTTTTACGTGGCACAGCTCTAGCTAGCCACCTAAGTAGCCTACTCTTCTTGAAGTAAAGAAATGACTATTTTGATTTTATCCCCTAGTGAAGAAGAGATGGTGGGAGGTCAGGCTGTCACTGATGAGCAGTATAAAATTTGTACTTGCAAATCCTTAAGGGAATGCAAAGAGGTTTGAGCTAGTTTTTTGAATGGTTTTGTTTCCTCTGCCATGAATTCCTGCCAGAGCAAGTAGAGATTTTAGTGTTGGAAGTCTTTGCAGTGACAGTGTGATATTTAAGAGGCTGTGCTGCAAGTTGGAGTATCTGTAGGGACTGACTGGGCATCTTGTTTTGGACAGGTGTTGAAGGAATCTCAGGTGGATGAGATCAAGTTGGTGACCGGGTCCGCTGAGTCCGCAGCACTCAGACTACGTGTTCCTCTGCAGCAGGTACAGGCCCAGCAGTCACCAGTTCTGACAGCTTCCACATGGATTCTGATGGCAATGATTCTTCAGACTCTGAGGTGAGCATCTGCACTGTCTGAAATGTCTGTGAACTTTAGAACCATTTTGGATTTATAAGTAGCAGAAATCTTGTTTTAACACTGATTGTGTTCATGGCTAATAGTATCTCCACTCTGTTTCCCCCCTGCCCCTTTTCCTGCTGTGTGTGTGGTCTAAGACAGCCAGATGTAAATCTTAGTGAGTGGGTAAGTTCATGCAGGTTTAGCTCCTGTTTCCATGAAGTCTTAGAAATATTCCTAGCTTTTGCAGGAGAGAAAAAGACAAATGTGAAAACATGCTGTATCTTTATTGTTACTATAGATTGATACAGATGTAGAGAGGCTTTGCAAAGCTGTTAGTATTTAGTGTCCCATGTTATTGATGTTCAGGAAACTTAGGACAGGCTGTTTAATACTTGGATTGGTTTGATCTATAGCAAACCTCTGGTCATGGGCAAATCTGCCTAAGACAATTGCTGCCACTTGCTCTGTGGAGCTACTAAGTGAGTGTGGTGTTTGTACGTGATAAGTCCAAGATCTCAAGGAACAAATAAAGGTTTTGAACATCAAATCCAACACAACCTCTGTGAGGATGTCCAGTGCCACTGCTAAAGTTAATAGACTAAGAAATTCTGAAAGATATGTAATTACTACAAGTGTGTTTTGGTAGCCATATTTTTGGTGAATTTGTTTTCTGCTTTTTATTATATACCTTAACTTCCAGGTAAGTGAGTTTAGGTGCCAAAACGAGATATTTTCTGGTAACAGTAGGAAGCTGTTTTTCTAAATCAGTATTTCATTCTCCAGTCTGATCTCCTGTTGGGCTTTCTGGATGGTTTGGACCCAGAGATGTTTCTCAAATATGCTGATTCAGAGTCTACATGCCTGGAAAAGCTGGAGGAAGATATCTGCAGAGAAACAAATTCCGTACCAACCTCCCCTTCTCCATCTTTGGGGTCCCCATCAGCTAAGTTGGAGGCCATTAATGAACTGATAAGGTTTGATCATGTATACACAAAGCCCCTAATATTAGAGATTCCTGTTAAAATGGAGATTCCTGTTAAAATAGACAATCAAGCTAATATGCTAGTGAAAATAGAGGAAGTATCTCTCTCCCAATCTGAAGATAAAGCTATTCCTGAGACCTCTGTGTCTGTGAAGGAGGAACCTGTAGACGGCTTCATGCCTGAACTGGGCATCTGTCATCTGTTTTCCTCCCATCCCAGCCTTGCAGCCTCAAGTTACCTGTTGGATGCCTGTAGTGACTCTGGATATGAAGGATCCCCATCACCCTTCAGTGACATGTCCTCTCCACTTGACAGTGACCGTACTTGGGAGGATAGTTTTGCAAATGAACTCTTTCCTCAATTGATCAGTGTCTAATTTGGTAGTGTGGACTATCCTTGGGTGACTGTCCTGGTGGGATAGCAGAGTATGCCCTTCCTGAAGGGAGGAAGTAGGGGGGAAAAATACAGTTTCTTGAGAAGTGCTCCTTTCTCCCCTGAATGCTAGTAGTGATGGCCAGTGCTTTTTTTTTCCTTTTCCCCGGGGTGAAAAGTAAATTCTTTCCTGCTTTGCCCCAAAGATGACATGAATGTTGACTTCTGAGGAAGGATTTTTTTCAAATTACCAGTTCTGGAGGAACCTGAAAAATTGAATATTTTTATTATTAAAAGTGAGAGTTCTAATATCAGTCTTTGGGATATTTGTGTAGACAGCTGGAATATAAGTAGTCTGTGTATCTTACAGATGTATTATGTAAATGCTTGTTTTCCATTCTTTATGTAGAATTGCTTTTTCTGTTTTAATATTTAAGTGTATTTGTGCAATTAAAGTGCAATGCAGCTCCGTTTTTGTCATGGGTAGGGGAGAATGGGGCTTGTAGGGTTGGAAATGATCTGTACAACTTAACTTGAGATTTGCATCTTTCAAGGGTTGGTCCTTATACAATATACAAGGTTGGTCCTTGATGCCTCAATCCAGCAATATTTGCATGCTGTGTGTCTGTAACTACATGTTTTAGAATTTTTTGCTATGTCTTACTATCACTCACTTGAYGTTGCAGGCTCTCTTCAAGGTACGATGGAGTTGTATGAATACCAAGCTGCAATATTAAAATTATTAAAATATCTTTTCAGAATAAGGATTGGAGGAGACAGGAGCTTGGGATGTCTGAATAAAACTACTGTGACAGCTTTGTGGTAGCAATTAATGTCACTTCCAGAGCACTGCAGAACAGTGACTACAGGTTAATGCATTTTTAGTGTTCCTCAAGCAGAGGGAGATATTTACCTTTATGGAGTGAAAAATTGTGGATTCTATTTCTTTAGCAGGTGCTGGGGCATAAAATTAGTTTTTGCAGGGCTAATTTAAAATATCTCGGTATGACTAAAAGCAATTTCATTGCCCTCATCCACTTGCAAGCATTTAGTRCAGTGCTGTTGTATTGGAGTGACTGGTGGAGGAAACTGAAATTCTATGTATGGTATGAGAGCTGGTCCAGTTGCTTATATAAGCCTGGTGTGGTATTCTAGGTTTCAGTGCCACTTTATGTTTTCTGCTAAACTTTCCCAGAAATAAATTTAACTGAGAGGATACTAGTCACTAATTTTGAAGTGGCAAGACTATTTCAGATTCTAGATTTTACTGACTTCGAATGCTGTAGTTAAGCATCTATCTGAATATCAGGTCACTATGAAAAAACTAAACCTGTGCAATGTAGCAGATTTTTTTCAAAAAGGCAAGCTGAACTTAAAGTATTTTAGTGGTAGTGTTGCCCTTAATGGCCAGTTTATTAAGGTTGTGCCTCAGCTCAGGTTCACTTGTTAATATTAGAATGCATTTCTTGTGCATCTACAGGAACTTAGATGGTTAAACAAATACTTAAACATAGTAGCTACTAAATTCCAATGCTTTTGGCAAAGTTTATATAATGAAATAATGAAATTTAATGTTCTAGTTGCCTGAACTGCTTCTAGTATTTCTTTCCCTGTGATTGTATTCAGGAGTAGTGTGAGGCTGAGGGCTCACATTACGCATAGATAGAGGGCTTGCTATTTACCATGGAATGGATGACTTAGCAGCAGAGGCCACATTCAAAATGCAATAAGGGCGAGGTGTGTGTGTGTGCGCGTGCTTTAACATAGCTTATGCAGCCAGAAAGGGGGGTATGATAGGCTTTCATGGTTCTAAAACCAGCCTAAAACATAAACATCTCAACTGTACCCATTTAACGCTGTGTTGATTGTCTTCAGAAGAATGCTGTTTCAAAGGYTGTCTAAACATCCCAATCCCAGAATTTTCCTAAGAAACTTTTGTGAAAGTAAAGCCATCTTCAAAGGAAATAAACTGTACTTCAAAACATGCAGCCTTCAATGCTTGAAATCTGCCCAGTAGACTTGGACTTACATTTGCCCTTTTGTGGGAGGGCTTTTCTGGCTGTGTAGGAAGGGGCTCCAGCTCTGCTCCCTGCTTTTGTGGTTTCTGAGGCAGAAGCCAGTGAAAAAGTAAAGAAACTGCAACCACTCACAGATCTGGCAGACATTGAAGTTCAATACCTSTGTGAGAATGGCATAGGTGGACAAAATAGGACTGCAACCAAGAGATGACTCTGCTGAACATCCTGCTGAAATTCTCTGCGTTGTCTGTGCTTCAGCCTTGAGATTGCCATGAGAAGCTGGGCTGCTTCAGCCACCATTCAGAATCCAAACATTTACACCTCTACTGCTTCCTGCTTTCCTGTCATCCTGTGCCAGATGAAATGCAGTTCTCAGCCTCCTAGAGCAATTGCCCCTCCTGCTACACCAAGTCTTCTAGGCTGCTGGTACAGGAGGTTGGTGTTTTTAACTTTAATCAGTCAAAGCAATTTAAAAAGTTGAAGTAGTTAATAATTGTTTTAACTAGCCTTTTGGGCAGTATACACTTCAATAGCTGCCTAGGTGAGCTTTTTATGTAAGCTCCTTACAGTTTCTCCTGTAAACAATCTGCCTTCAGAGGCTGCCCTAGAGCAGCCAAGTGAGTTGAAGCAAAGTTTGCAGCTTCAATGGTGAGGGGAAGCAGTACTGGTTCAGTTGTCCTTTTCTGCACCTTAATAGCAGCAGCTGCCAATTATTACTTTGAACTAGAGTAATGTACTCCTCTGTGTCTTCCAACTGCATACTGCAGCTAGGCAAAAGGAGAAGAAGGGGATGGAGTTGAGTGATGTGGTGGCACAAAGGTGCCTTCATCTACTACCTCCACTGCTGCTTGTTCTGCTATGGCCTGTCTGGCAGGAGAAGCGCTAGGCTCAGAAACACCCTGCTCTGGGGCATRATCAATACATCTCTGACTGTCTCTTCTCTGCTAAAGGCTGCTCTTAAGAGCCTGATAACATGTAACTTTTCCACCTTGCTGCCAAACCTGCCACATGGGGTAGTGGTTGTACCCAGACAGCTGCATTACTGATCACTGAGACTTGAAATTTAAAGCTGAGACTTGAAATTTAAAGTGTTGCCACCACTGCCACCCAGTGCCCTTTTGTGGTATTGATGAATCGTAAGCACAATCCAGTGTCCCATTGCACTTACTTTGAAAATATTTCATGTCTATGAGCAGCATACATTTTGGCAGCAGCTTAATAGCTGAGATTTTTCTGTGAATGAGAGAAACTAAGTTATACTAAGCCCAAAGTGTGTGTGTGTGTGGAGAGGATAAGGGAGGTAAATACATCTCTGAGGGACTTTTGAAGGATGTCACCTTTAAAATACACTTAAGATGTCCACTTTCCAATTGTTCTAAATTGTTTTACGGAGTCCAATCTACTGAGATACAAGCAAGTCCATTTGCATTATAGCAAGCACAGATCCAAGCCTAGCACACATCTGTGTTTTAGCTGCTGTTGATTACAAACTAGCAGAAGGAAACACCACCTCCGTAGCAAACTGATGTAAAATACAAGCCTTAGAGCAATGGCAAGCCCAGCTCCAAGTCCTGCCAAGATAGGTTTTGTCCCCAAGGTTGGCTCTGAGGCTGGGACACTGCTACCCCCCTCCACAAAATGGCAGCCACGGTCCCAGGAGATCCTCAGCCAGCTGAGACTTATACACAGTCCTAAAGAGGTGGGATTTTACACTATTTTCTTATCTACTCCCYAGCCTGGAGAATTATTTAAGTCTTAAAAAAAAGTTTGATGCCATCTTGAAACTTTTTTTTTATCCTGTTTATAGAAATAAGTTTTATGTATTGTTTCCCTCATGTTGAAAGCAAAGGTAATACTGGTCTGGTATACACATTTAGTTATCCTGTGAATTGCTTGAAAATCGTTTGAGCAGGAGATATTAAAAGAAGGCAAAACAGTGGATTCCAATAAAATAACCTATTAAAATTCAGATTCAAAGATTTAATTTTAGATAGCTAGCCCAGTTAGGCATTCCTAACTTTAGTATTAATGTAAAATGAAAGATCTCAAAACAAGAGCTCTAGTAGCAGCTCTGGATGTCCTTTGCTTCTCTCGAGACTCTTGGCTCAGGACACACTTGTAGCCTCTCTTCCCTGCCTGCAGCTTCTATTTCTACCCTGTTATTGAGGGAAGTGACATCYCTCTGGGAATACACAGTTGAGCTGAAATATTTTTTCTAGACCAAGGTCCAGAAGAGTTTTACTTCCAGGAAAGTGCCCCTGCTCACAATCATTGTCTTCGTCTCTATAAAGAAAGAAACACAGCCATCTAAAAAATATTCTAAAAATTTTATTGAAAACTGCCATACAAAGGGTGATTTGGTCCCAAGAGAAAACAGACCAGGATCAGATCTTTTATATTTAAAAATACAGGATAAAGATTTTCCTAATACTGCAACACATGTGCCATCTTGCTTGTAAACAATAAAAGTCTTGCAAGGAAGCCAACAACAAATGAACTGTCAGAAACAAAGAAGTTTGAAAAGACTTGGTCGCCTTCCCGTCTCATATTCTCCAAGTCATGGCTACAGAAAAAAAAATGTCCAGTCCTCCCACATAATAATTCCATTTGCTGCGCTTACCCCCTTCCCCAAGGAGATTCTGCTGTTCTCCTCTAAAACAGGAGCACAAAGGAATTAGAAAAGATTTAAAATAAGCATCTGTACTAATGTAAATTTCTTAAGACATTTTTCTCTCATCTTATGGTCTTTGTCAATAGTTCACTAAGCTCCTGTTTCAGACAGCAGAATGACAGGAGTTACTGCATTGGCATCAAAGGATTAAGAGGAAAGTTGACCTTTAGTACAAATATAACAGGAAAAAATCATTTTTAACACATCTACATAAATATGTTCTCCTATGATTTATCATTTAACATTTCAAAGGGAAGAAACCCTGCATCTAGATTTCATATATTTAGGCCTCCCAGTTTTCTATCCTCTGCCATAATTTAAGTGTTGTTAAGATGGTTTTCTCAAATCATTTTTTTTTTCCTCCTTTCTCTTCAACTCATTTCAGATCAAAGCCACCCAATAAAGTCCCAGCCTTGAACTTTCACTATAACCCTGCAAACTTAAAAACATTTAGGTATTTAGAGGCATATTTTCTCCCCGTAGTGACTACAGTCTTCTCCAAATTGTATTGCTTTCCATCATAACTTGAACAACACAGCAAGTTGAAGACTGTAGCAAGTTTTAAACAATTTTAGCAGTTCAACAATACTCACATGAGAGAATTTTACACAGTGCATGAAAGAGATTTATAGCAGAGACTGAAAGGAAAAAGCTGCACGTATTGTCCAATTGAAGTTCCAGACTAACGCCTATCAAAAGGCTGGTATGATTTTCGTGCAGTTCTGAAAACGTTTAGCAGGAACTGCAGATTTTACACAACTTTTGACAAAAACAGCAAGACAAATTGCATTTAACAAATGCATGACTCCTCTCCTTTGACCCAAACATGCTTGTCAAAAATACCTTTCCAATAAAGAAGTTTTGTCCGTCAACTGAGAGAGAAGAAAGGGTAAGTGCAAAAACGGAAGCTTGATTTTAAATTATCAACTATGGGTTATTCAACTGTTTAAAACAAGAAGAAACAACCACACAAACACAAAGATTATCAAGAAGCCATGCAAAGAGTAAAAAGCATTTTCTAAGGCAAAAGCTGCATTACTGAAAGATCAATTTATTATCTGCTTCTCTGTGTTAGAGGGAAGTCAAGAGCAGCCTGGTATGGTAATGCTCCCAACAGAACCTATTACTGGAAAAGGAATTTCTTAAAAAGAATCTCAATTCAGACATCTCCAAGAAAGCTTGTGGACTCAGCAGAAGATAAAAACTTTTGCTTTGTTTAAAGGTTGTAAATGTAATAGATGTTACATTTTGAAGAAAGGTGCAACTCATTGGCAGTTCCTTTTCCTAAAGCCATAAACTGAGATGTTATTTTGGCATAAGTCTATATACATTAATGGCACATGCTCTGGCTTAGACTGTCTAGTTTTACTAGGAAGAAGGCAAGTATCCACTTCACCATCAAAGCCAGCAGGCACACTTAAAAGTTTGGGACTCAGTTACACATGGTGAGCAGTATTTAACCTTCCTTACCCCCAAAGCACTTCTCCATTATCCATTTACTTACCATGTTTATTAGAACTAAAGCATACCACTTAGTTTATCAAAAGTTACACTGACTTCAATTCACTTTTCAACTTAAAGAACCACTGCACAACATAAAATGTTGTGAATCAATTGGCTGGCAATACTCTTTTCTAGATTTTGCATCATTTGAAAGGCTGAGTGACACCAAAAACCTGCAAGTACAATTTTACAGTGCAGTGAAACAAAGCAGATAAAAGTTAGAAGTAATCTTGCAAGTCAGTATCCAAAATTACTTTTTTCAAAATAAGAGCTTTATAGCCAGCTATGACATTCCTTCTCTACTACAGTGCAGAATGCTTCATTTCTACATTTAAGTCAAACACAAACCAGATGCATATGAAGTAACAATGGTGTGGAAGAAAAAAAAAAAAGTTGTTATCCACAGGGTTTGCATTTTTTGACCTGTGACTAGACTCAGAAGTACTCCTTTCTTTCAATACTTTTGTTAATTCAGATAGAAGTAACTGACCAAGCACAGTATATGCATTGAAGTCTCAGTGGCTCAGTAAGTGAAACATCTGACTGGAGCCACAGTTACATTCAGAATTTGAATTGCCAGGGACAACTAAGAGGGTATTTCCCCATTAAACAATTTGGAAAGCCACTTCTTTGTTCCTCTGGATTTCCTTCACACACATGCACACACATAAAAGAAAAAGTATATATAACAGACCAGAATACAGAAGTTTTTTGGTTTTTTTTTGTTCCTTCAGTTTCCTGAAGCTGTGTCTGGTCAATCTATATTCATGTGATTGTTACCAAGAGAAAACAAACAAGAAAATAAAATTCCAGGTTCACACATCAAACCAGAAATAAACAATGAATTGGGTGCGGGGAGGAAAGCACAACAAAAAACATTAGAAAGTCACCAGTCTAAAACCTGATATCTACAACTCCATTTCTTCTTCTGCACACCCTTGGATCTCCAAAGTGTCATACACATTTGGAGACACTACAGTCTGTTGTGGTTCAGGGAATGAGTCAGTCTGTGGGTGAAAAGCAGCTCCAAGTGATGATTGCTTAGCTTGACAACCTTCTGTGCTTTGCTGCTTGAAGTTCTTGACGGAAACAGTCGTCAGTTTATCTGTGAGAAATTCAGGAAGAGGTTTCCAAAGCACCAGCTCCATAGAAGGACGGCTCCTAGAAGAGATGGCATCATAGTTTAATTAAAGTTCTCCAATCACAACTACAAAATGCAGAAGACCAGTCAGGATCTTCATCCTTTGTTCTAACCTGGAATTACATCTCAGAATGCACACACCAGGTTTGTCCTATTACTTTTTCTCTTCCTTAACTAGTTCCATTACTTGAAATTCCAAAAGACAAAAAAAAAATCTTTTCTGTTGCACCAAATTTGGTGACCACTGTTGGATGCACTTCAGGACCTTCTTTTGGACGCTCACATACATGAAGAGTAGGGTACGTACGTGCACTCAGTATACTTCATTCCATACAAATAAGGGGTACAAACAGACAGCTTGATGACCACTAGTTACACGTACTTCTCTTTTACATTAACATAACTTTTCCTAYTTTTGACCCAATGAATGGTGTGTTATACAATGCTGGCTGCAGCATGCAGTAATAAAGGATATCTCCACCAATATAAGAGACTGAGTCTCTCAATTTGCATGTGTTAGCTAGGTAGCACCATGATTTCCTCAAGAACTTACATAGATTCTATTATTTTCTTTGTCAGGACTTCACCAAAATCCCTCTTCATCCCTTTTTTAAGGGTATCTGACAGGATAAGAGTGGGCAGATTGCTAATATTTCCATCAGCATGAACTTCCTCATCTTCATCAATTATCCTAGGAATGGAGGGGGAAGAGGGAAATAAACACCTTTGAGAATACTGTTAATAGGCATATCCACTGCAGACTACAGTTTTATCTATATGCACTGCATTGTACAGTGACCTAGACTAGTCACTGTAGATAGTGACCTAGACTGGGTACCAGAAGCAGCAGGGCTGGGTTAACATGAATCTTCCTTGGGCCAATATAACCTAAGAATGAATATGACAATAATGCCACTTGAGCAGCTATGCCATTTCTGGTACCTGAAATAGCTTTTATTATCTCTGTAATAGCTTTTATTATGTCTGTATTGTCCAGCAGTGCAATGCAGACATACATACACCAGGAGAAAGAAAATAAGTTCACTTCAGGGGAAAGGGTACAGTCAGTCATATTACAAGAACGCATCTTAGTTATGCTGGAGTTTAGCTTTCTGAACTCCTCATGCCTTACCCTTGAGAATTACAGAAAAGCTATCAAAAACAGTTCTTAAAAGTTTCTGTGTCATTGCATCAATTTCTCTGAAATTACGATGTCCTTAAAGGTTAAGCATTTAGAACAAACTTAAGGCAACTCCTTTTTTTTTCTTTAATAGACTTTTAAAAGAATATGTAACAAAGATAGCTGTAAGGTATGGAGAACAATCCTCAGAGAGCCAAAGCAAACTCTGAAACATAGATATAAGCAGATGGTACTTATTTGTCACAAAGTATTAAAAGTACACTAACAGTAACTTGCATCCTTCCCGGCATTGCCTATGGTAGTCACCTAAAAACAGCTTTAGTTATGTAATTTCAATATTTTGGGGCTTTGTAGGGATCACATTTTGGAAAATACACATGACATTCTCAGGACCTCTCAAAGACAAAAGCTGAATGCACAGTACATTTACTAAGAGGCTGCTCAGTGCCGCCCCCTTATTCCAATATGAAGCCACCTGACATTTAACTATGAGAGGAACCTGAGCCTTACTGCCCGTGTGCAGAAAGAGCACTCTGGCTCCTGCTATTGTAACAGCAAAACAACTAACCTGTGTACCTAGAAAAAAATAAATTTAAAAGAGTTGCAATTGGCAGAGAAAACTGTGAGCTCAAACTTAAGCAGACTACATCAGTTAAAGTTTGATATCTGGACACTCACAAAACAGCATACAAAACCCATCATGATATTATGTTAAAAGATAATTTTAAAACAGCTAGTTATTTATTTAATGTCTCTTACTCTATAACCCTCAAGCTCAGATCATAGTATTAAACCCAAAAGGTATAAAACTCTAGGAACCTTAAGAAAAAAAGTCACCTGAACAAAAGGTTAATTTCAAACTTACAGCTATCACACTGCTCAATGCTAGTTACCCCTGAATGCCCAGCAAAACAGGGAAAGCTCAGCAAATTCCATCTACTCCATCCCTGCATTTACCTGTCCTCAATCTCCTGAAGCTTCCTGCGAGCAACCTCGCATTGCTGTTCCCCCATTGTCTGATCCATTTCTTCACCAGGAATTTCTAACATGGCAGCTTCAGGGCGGCTGCCACCATACTGACTTGCTACCTCCCCAGCTGCCTGCTGACCTGCACAGAGAATCCATTCTTCAGTGTTGGGATTCAAAGGGGAAATTTTGGCTCCTGTCAGTCTCTTCTTCTTCATGGGACAACTAGGAAACAAAACCAATTTACAATTGAAAAAAAAAAAAAAATCGTACTGAGAATTGTTTCATATAATTTACATGGGAAAAAAAAAATCTTAAACTTTAGAAAGTCACATGCATTACAACAGATTTTAGAAAAATCAATCTCTTCCTCCACGTATCCAAACATTCCTCTTGCTAAAATGCAGGAATCCATGAGAGAGAAGAAAAAAAAAATCAGTGTCACACAAATAATAAGGTAAACATTATGGATTTGGGCATGCATCAGCAATTTGGGGGAAGAGTTACAAAAACAATGATAGAGGTCCCCTTCACATGCATCCTGTAGATGAGATGCACTGAAAACCCTACAGAAAATAAGTAAATTAAGACCTTTCAAGCTAAAGATGACAAATTTATTTTACCCTTCTGCCTCTTCTTCTAGTTTATGCTTCTTTCCACAGCGAACAGAGATACTGGGAAAAAAAAAAAAAAAAAGCAAATATTTATTTGGCTGGTAATTATATCTTCCAGGGACATTGATATTTCAAAGTAATTTTTTTTCTCCCTTTGAAGATGTTACTCACAGCTCAAACAATGCTAACTTGTGATTCTCAGCTGAGAAGGGAATAGACAATATTTTTGGACAATAAGAGACCAGTATACTCTGAAGAAAGTCAAAGAAGGTTGGAATTACTCAGTTGCTACGAGTTGCATGATAATTTCTCTTCCTGCACAGTATTTATTTTTTCCACAGTAGGCAAGATTGATTCTTCCTAAAACTCAAACGCTTCAGCAAGCAACATCTGATCCAGCCCAGCACGACCATGTTTCCTTACTGCTCAGGAGACTACTCGGTCCCCTCGCAGCCTCCTAGACTGCAGCACAGCTGGGGGTGGCTCCAGCATCCTTGCAGTGCCGGGACTGCCCGGGTCTTGCTCCCTCTGACGRGGAACTCGAAGCAGCGGAGCAGCCTCCCCAGCCTCCCTTTCGGTCGATACTTACGGGCCGCGGGCGCGCGGCTGCAGGGCGCCAGGCGAGCGCCGGGCGCCGCTGAAGGGAGGCCCGGGAGCCGCGGCCCGCCCCTCGCCGCGGCCCTCCGGCACCAGGCAGCCGAGCCCGAGGCTGTTCCGCAGACTCACGTCGGCCGAGCCGCTCCCCACCATCATCACCGTCCGCGGCGGCAGCGGCCCAAGGCCGAGGGCTCCGGGCAGGCCTAGGCGCTCCGGGGCAGCCTGCGGGAGCTCGGCGGCCGGAGCTGCAACGCCGCGGCAGGGCCGGCCCAGCGTCGCCATCGCCTGCTGCGAGGAGAGAGGGACGTGAGGCGGCCTCTCGGGGACGGCAGCAGCCAGGACGCGCCGCCATCCTCTCCGCCAAGGCCCCGCCGCCCCGGGCCGCCCCTACTGCTCGCTCGCCCAGCGTTCCGTCGCTCAGGACTCGCTCGCTCACCCGGCCGCCGGGCCGAGCCTCGCTCGCCCAGGACTCGCTCGCTCACCCACGCCGGGCCGAGCCCGGAGAAGGACGACGCAGCAACACCGGCGGCTTCACGGCCCGCGCAGCCCGGAGAACGCGGCGCGGGGCACGCCGGGAGCCGTAGTCCAGGCAGGACCGCAAAAACTACAGGACCAGCACTTCCGGTGGAAGCCGCAGAGCACGCCGGGAGTAGTGGTTCAGCAGCCGTCGCGAGGCACGCTGGGAGTCGTAGTTGCGGGCGTGAGGCACGCCGGAAGATGTAGTCTACAGTGCTGCGCGGGGTGTGAGGGTTGGGCCAGCGCGACGGTGGTAGCGTCGCCGCAGTCAGGGGGAGCCCGGCCCTGGCCTCGCGGCCCTCACTGTTGCGCCTCGACCGCACGGCAGCGCGGAGGCTGGCGGGCAGCTTGCGCTGCCCTGTCCGGCCACGGCGCGGGGAGCCTCAAGGGCGGGTTCGGCCGCAGCAGCAGCCGCCGAGTGCCAGTCAACAGCTTAGCGCGGCTGAGCGTTCCGTCTGCCGCGCTGCGTCTGGGGCCTGGCCCAGGGGAGCGCTGCCGGGAGCGGGAGGCCGCGGCCGCGAGGCGAGGCGGCTGCGGGGAGCCACGGGACTGCCCGGTCCCGCCTCGTGCTCTGGCACCGGGTGACCCTGTGGGCGGCTCGCTGAGTCCTGCCGGGGGGACGCAGCTCTGTCCGCGCTGCGCATGGAGCAGCAGCCACTGTTGAGAGGGCCTGGCCCCCGGCGCGAGGTGAGCGGAGCCCGTGGGACGCTCCTGCGGGCTTGAGCAGCAACCCAGGCACGCGTGGGGAGGGCTCTGGCGGCTTCGCGTCTAGTTTCAAATCATCATCGCCTTAAATGATCCGGCTTGTGGGGCTTTATGTTCCCCGTGACTCAAAGCCGTGTCCTAGAATGGGAGCTGCAGCAGCAGATTTTTTGAGTCCAGTCCTTGCGCACTGAGAACAAGCTGAATTGGCTTTTGTTTCTGGCTCGTCTCTGAGGTGAGGTGGAAGACTCCTTAGCGGTCACGAGTTCAGCCACCTGCAGAACAGGTGAGGCTGTTGTCTCGTCCAAAAAGCCCCGACCAAGCTCCTGTGTGACACAGCACACGAGGGCGATGAGCACACCGTCTCGGGCAGGGAGAGGAGTGCAGGTATTGCAACCAAATATGAGTTCTATGATATGCATTCATTTTTCTGTGTTTGCTTTTTTTTTCCTTTATTTTTTTTCTTCTCTTAAATGATACCTTTTCACTGCTTCATTGTTTAATTCTAGAATAATCTAATCCTTGTATTTGATGAACATCTTTTTCCCTGATCTAGCTGTGAAAGTCACCAAAATTCAGTGAAAGTCACCAAAGGACCCTTCATGCCTTCTGGGTGTCAGAAAGAGCAGAACAATATCCAGAAGTACAAACTCTTTTGCAATAAGTTGTTCCAAAATTACCATTTCTTGTTAGTGTTTTTGTTAGCTGGAAATCTTTAGAATGACAAAGCACTTTCAGAGTACAGCGTAGTGCCTAGAACAACAACATTCTGGGAATTGGATCAGCAATGCAAATGATGAACAACCAGTTTACATAGCTTGGAAAGGGAATACAAGCTTATCAAAGAAAACCTCTCACTGTCGTAAGTGCTGAAGGAAGAGGAAAATAGATAGGAAACGTGCACTTAATATAGGAGACAAGTGCATGACGAAGTTGTATGTTTATCTTAAGTTAGACCGAAAGATGCTATAGGATAAAATTAGGACCTCATTTTTAATGAAGCATTAGTTAACTATTAGAATAATTGGGCATTATTTTTTGTACTGTAAAATTCAATATAAAAATATGGTCAAGAAGCATGACATTATAAACCAGACTCTGTATAAACCTCTAGAAATCCTTTCTGATACATTTGACTTCAAATAAAACCTCTGTATTATGACTARATGGGAAATTAGAATATGACATAACAGTGGTTTCTTTTAACCTTAAAACATATGAATCTGTGAAATTACTAATTTGAATTTGTAAATGTTGACTTAGGAATATAACTTTAGGTCATCAAATCTGAAAAATTAAGCACATGATCACTTTAGATTGAATAATGTTATCAATGCACTGTATGCTGTGATTCAAGGTACTAAGATCTGCACTTGTTAGCTTGTAGACATTTTACAATCATCACAGGATCTCGCTGAGGTCAATTAAATATTTTTGTTTCTTACATTTAGATATAATGTGAGTTATAGAATTTAGGACTCGGTTACTTCTCACACTAATTCACTGTGTCTTTAACACCAAACATTAGCAGTTTTAATGTTATTGTATAAAAACTGGACATCCTGAACTGCATGGATCATGCACATAGTATTTGCACAGTTCAGTAAATATGCCATTGGATATAAAATGATTGTGTAGTCCACATTTAATCTGAAAATTTCTCAGTGTTTCATATTTAAGGGGTACCAATGATCATGGCTGAAGTCAGTGGGAAGTTTCTCTGCTGCAGATGTTTATGAAGTTGTGTAGTTCTATTGCCAAACACTTCCATTGTTCAAAATAAGTGCTTGACAGTATTGCTATGGTTTACTCTAGACAGTGGGCAAATTTACACTATATGTGTGTGAATTCAAGGCCTTTTCCCTTCTCATGTCCCTGTTGCTCTGTCTTGCTCCCTAGCTCCCCAGCTGGACCCTGTTCCTGTCTGTCTGTGCTGTGGGCATTGGAGGCACCTTTCAGTATGGGTATAATGTTTCCATTATCAACGCRCCCACACAGGTAAGACATTCTCTTGTTCCCAGAGTGTCTTCATTTTAAGGGAGGTATTTGCTTTTGCTGGGTTGGGAGGCCAAATGTGCTTTAGACTGTGATGGCAATGGGAACCAAAGCGAATGTTCTCTCCTGTGAAGGCTTCTTGTGACTTCCTAAAAAGTTTCGTAAGAATTTGTTCTTTCGATATCTCCCATTGGAGGTACTCTGTGTCAGATAAAAGTGACAAAACATGCTACCTAAGTATCTCTTTGAATGTCTGCTTTTGGAGGATTAGCTGAATGAATAAGTAGTATCTTACATTAACACTTTTGACTAATCTAGCCCCGTCTATTACAAGACAGCATATTGAGAAAGATCCTTTTAGGGATCAGAAGAAGCTGAATCTGTGATTTCTGAATGTATCTTTTAGGTGTTTTCCCCCTCTTGTTAGTTTTCTGTCTGTTACCATGGCCTTGAGGACTCTGCATACTTTAGGGCTGACTCAAGAGGAACTGAGCTAATTACCTTATGAAAAACAATAAGTATCATTTTCTGCTGTCAGCTGATTTATTTTCTTATCCAGCTGTGAAGACCCAATTTGCTACAGCATTGTATGCTTTTTACCAGCCTTAAAATAAGCTGATCCTGAGGGAAGATGTCACATGCTCAAAACAGAGGGAGGGTCCGGCAAGTTGTTTCATGCATTAAATCTTTATTTACTGGCTAAAAACATGAGTGTAATTGCAGATGCATGTTAGTTCAAGAGTTTTGGAAGGCAAATTTTACAAAATCAAGCGTGTAGAATAATAGGTGGAGAGTACTGCCACGTGAAGACAGTAAGAAAAAAAAGAGGAAAATTTGAGCTGAGAAAGGGGATTTTACTAGGAATTGTCAGAGTGCACTAAAAGCAAAATTTAAAACAAATGCCAAGATGAATTTCCTAGCTGTAGGATCTGCTAAATTTTGAGCCTTTGATTCTGTGAGGTGTTGCAAAAAGCCAGTGGGACTTCCCTTTCCTTCTGTTCGGAAGGATTCAAAACTTCTTCCAAGCAGTATATGGAAAGGTTGTGCATCTCTGGCGGAATATAAACTCTCCTAAGAGAAGGGACYGAAGGAAAGCCCCACAGCTGTCTTTGAGATGTGTGGAGAATAGGAAGTAGGATTGTGATCAGTGGCACAGAGTCTAGTTGGAGGCCTGTAATTAGCGGTGTTCCCCAGGGATCAGTCCTCAGCCCAGTCCTGTTCAATTTATCAATGACCTGGATGAAGGAATGGAGTGCTCCCTCAGCATGTGTGCTGATGATACCAAATGGGCAGGAGTAGCTGATACCCTAGAGGGCTGCACTGCTATCCAGAGGCATCTGGACTGATTGGACAACTGGATGGTGAGAAACCTCATGAAGTTCAACAAGGGCAAAGTGCAAGATCCTGCACTTGGGAAGGAATAACCCCAACCAACAGTACGGGCTGGGGACTGACCTTCTGGAGAGCAGCTCTGTCGAGAGGGACCTGGGTGACATGGTGAACAAGTTGACCGTGAGGCAGCAATGTACCCTCGTGGCCAAGAAGGCCAATGGGATTCTGGGATGCATTAAGAAGAGCGTCTCCAGCAGGTCGAGAGAGGTGATCGTCCCCCTCTACTCAGCCCTGGTGAGGTCACATCTGGAGACTCTGTCCAGTTCTGGGCTCCCCAGTGCTAGAAGGATGTGGAGCTGCTGGAGAGAGTCCAGCACAGGGCTACGAGGATGATCAGGGGCAGCCTGGAGCATCTGCCCTATGAGGAAAGGCTGAAAGAGCTGGACCTGTTCAGCCTGGAGAAGAGAAGGCGGAGGGGGATCCTGATCAGTGTCTGGAAATACCTTAAGGGAGGGAGGAGRATGGGGCCGGCCTCTTTTCAGTTGTGACCACTGATAGAACTAGAGGAAACAGCCACAAACTGAAGCACCAGAAGTTCTGCAGGAACTTAAGGAAAACATTCCTAACAGTGAGGGTGACAGAGCACCGGAACAGGTTGCCAAGAGAGGTTGTGGAGTCTCCTTCTTTAGGTATCTTCAAAAGCCACTTGGACACCTGTGCCGCATGCTGTAGGTGAC